GTCTTCGTTTTCATTTAGTTCCAAAAATTTGGTGATTTCCTTCTTAATCTCATCTTTGACCCAGCTATCAGTCAGCCTAAGATTATTTAGCTTCCATTATTTAGCTTGTTTGAGTATGGAGATTCCCATTGCTGTTGAATTCAACTTTATTCCATGGTGGTCCGAGAAGATACAAGGAATAATTTCTATACTTTTAAATTTACTGAGGTTAGACTTGTGTCCTAGGATATGGTCTATTTTGGAAGATGAGTCATGGGCTGATGAGAAGAATGTATATTCAGTTTAATTAGGGTGAAATGTTCTGTAGAGGTCTGTAAAGTCCATTTATTCTAGGGTCAGGTTTAAGTCTAATATTTCTTTGTTTAGTTTCTTCTTGAAGGATCTATCCAAAACTGTCCAAGGGGTGTTAAAGTCTCTAACTATTGTAGTGCAGGAAGATATCAAGTTGTTCATATCCATTAGGGTCTGCTTTAGAATTGAGGAGCATTCTGATAGGGTGCATAAATGTTCACTATCGAAATCTCTTTATGTTGGGTGTTTCCCTTGACAAATATGTAGTGATCTTCCTTAAATTTCTTTATCTTTGTTGGTTTAAAACCAATTGTACCTGCTACTAAAATTGCTGCCTCTGCTTTTTTCTGGTTTCCATTTGCCTGTATTATACAAGTCCATCCCTTCACCTTGAATCTATTTTTATCCTTTAAGGTAAGGTAAAATTCTTACATACAACAGATATGTGGTCTGAGTTTATATATCAAGTCAGCCAGCCTGTGTCTCTTTAGAGGATAATTTAAACTGTTCACATTAATTGAGAGAATTGATAAGCCTGGTTGTGTTTTGGGTGTCATGATTTTTGGATGTCCAGTGGACATTTTTAACCCTTTCACCACTGTGGAAGTTGGGTTTTGTTCAAAAAATTTCTGGGTGAGTTTACTTTGGAGGTAGAGCATTACGCTGGTCATTGTGGAGGATGGGTCTCAGAATATCCATGAGAGCTGGTTTAGTTACAGCAAAATTCTTCAACACATCTATGTCATTAAAGTATCTGATTTCTCCATCGCAAATGAAACTCAGTTTAGCTGGATGGAGGATCCTAGGCTGGAAGTTGTTTTGTTTTAAGTGATTGAAGGTTGATGACCATCTTCTTTTGGCTTAAAAGGTTTCAGCTGAGAGATCTACAGTTATTCTGATCTGTAGGTGATGCTTTTCTTACATCTGGCTGCTTGCAGAATTTTCTCCTTCATCTTCACTTTGCAAAGTTAATCACAATGTGTCTAGAAGATGTTTTAATTGGATTGAGTCTTGCTGGGGTTCTGAAACTGTCTGCTATCTGAAGTTCTGAATCTCTTGCAATGTTTGGGAAATTCGCCAAAATCTTATCTGTACCTTTAGGACAATCCTCTTCTCCTTCAGGAATTCCTATAAGACGAATGTTTGATCTTTTGGAGTGATCCCACAACTCTCTCAGGGAGTGATCAGTTTTTCCTCTCCATTTGTCTACCTCCTTGAGTGTTTGGGAATGTTCAAAAGCTTTGTCCTCAGTTTCAGAGATTCTTTCTTCTGTCTGGTCAACTCTATTAGTGAGGGATTCTATTGTATTTTGGAGCTCCTCAACTAACTTTTTCATTTCCTTGAGCTCTGCTATCTCTTCCCTCATTATGTCCATACCTTGGGTGACTTGAGACAACTTTAGAACTACTCTTTGGAATTTAATTTCCATCTTTTCTTCATTCCATTTATCTTATTTGCAATCCATATTCTGAATACAGTTTCTGACATTGCTGCCATTTTTCTATGCATGGCATCTTCAGTTGTATCTCCTTTGTCATTTCTTGGGGGGGTTGATCTACTCTGGTTATTCATGTTGCCAGAGTTCTTCTGTTGAGTCCATATCATGTTTATTTTCTACTGTTTGGTTATTAGAACTGGTAGGGTGATTGAATTGGGGTTCCCAGATAGTAGAGATAGCTCCTTACCAAAGCTCTAGGCTTTGTAACTGTGGCTTATCTCCTGCAACCTTACAAAGGCCCCTTTCAGAATTTTGGCTGGAGACTCTGAGGACCTACTGGTGAGATAGCACAGGCTAGCTCTGTTTTGATATCAGCCAACTTCTCCCTATCCTAAGAAACCACCCTATTAGATTTAAATCTCGACTGTGAAGAGATACAAATAGCTGTGGTGCCCAGCCCCTACCCTTCAGTTCTTTTCCACTACATAACTTCAGAGGTCAACCTCAGAATGTCCCAGAGTAGACAGCCCCAGACATGGGTTCCAATCAAACTGTCTCTGGCAGTGCAAACCCTGCCCAACAGAGAAGGATTCAAGGACAATTCAAAACAAAGGGATTCAAAGCACAATTGGAGCCAGGGATCCATACTCCCACCTGCCAGACTTGGTCCACACTATTATCTGCTTCTCTGCTCACAGGCCCAGCTGAAGCCAGGGGTAATGCCCCGTCTACCAGTCTCAGTCCACTGCCTGGCAAGCCTCTGTTTGCAGGCTCTGTTGGTGTCAGGGCACCAGGCCTGCCCTCTGATCTCAGTCCACACCCAACTAACCTCTGCTTGCCAGACCAGTTGGAGTCAGGGGACCATGCCCTGCCTACCAGTCTCAGTCCACTGCCTAGAAAGCCTCTCTGTTCACAGGCTCTGTTAGAGTCAGGGCACCACACTCTGCCCTCAGGTCTCAGTCCTCACCTGGTGAGCCTCTGCTCACCAGCCCTGCTGGAGGCAGTAGAGTATGCCCTAGCCCTCAGGGCTTGGTTCACACCCAGTAAGCCACTGCTCAAGGGTTCTGTTGGAATCAAGAGACCACGCCCTTGCTCTCAGGTCCCAGTCTATGCCTATTAAGCCTCTCTGTTCACAGACCCAGCAGAGGCCAGCCTTGTCTGCCAAACTCAGTCCACACAGGGCAACCACTCTCCTACTGTGAGTGCTGTCAGAGCTGGGGGCTCTGCACCCCATCCCACCAGACACAGCCCAAACCAAGGGTCAACACTACCACTGGGCAGGCATAGTCATAACCAAGGGACTGCTCCTCCTCCCACCGAGTGTCCCTTTCTTCCCACACCCTCTTTCTTCCCTGTTAGTCACAGATTTTGTCCTGATGGTTGGCAGTCCACACTATGCCCAGGTCTCTCAGGACAAAACCACTCTGTGCTCTGCAGGGGGCAGAGCTTCAGACCACTATGCGAGGGGGAAAGGGTGGATTGGGAACCTGGATTTTTGGGAAAAATTATCTGTTCAATTTTATGCCTCGTGGGGAGGTGTCTAGGTTCATAAGTGGGACCTCCTTGGAGAAAGAGACTTGGAGTTTAGCGGCTCTCTCCAGCGAGGTAAAATGAGAGGTCTTTTATTCCCTGCTCATTCAGAGATAGCCTGTGGCAGGCCTCCTGCTTGGGGGAGGCATCTCCCATCCTCTAGTCCATAGGCTTTGTACCTGTAATTTGTTTTCTTGAATGCTCTTCCTTGGAGTTACAGCTTGCCAAACTTCTTTCCTGGCTCAGCTCCCTGTTTTTGGCTTTGTAGAGTCTGGTTCCGTCCAGTTTTTCTTCCTTTGTTCAAGAACCTCTGACAAGGGTTGCTACCAGTTGGCCATCTTCCCAGAATTTCTGTTGGTGTTATTTTAAATGTTACTTTAAAAGTGAGGTAAAGGAGGCCTCATTATTGTTAACATGTCAATTCTCCCTGAATTGATCTATGGGATTCAATACCATCAAAAACAAAACCTTAGTAGGCTCTTTTTGGCTGGGGCTGGGTTTGAACCCGCCACCTCCTATATAAAAACATATAATGCTTCACAAATCTGCTTGTCATCCTTGTATAGGGGCCATGCTAATCTCTGTATGGTTCCAATTTTAGTATATGTGCTGCAGAAGCAAACACTTAGTAGGCTTTTTACATCAAAATTGATAAGCTAATTTTAAAACTTATATAGAAAAGCAAAGTGAATCGAATTAGCCAAAACAATTTTTCAGGACCCATACTACCTGATTTCAAAGCTTAATATAAAGCTGTAGTAATCATGACAGTGTGATTTTAGCAAAAATATAGACATAAGATCAGCAGAACAGAATAGAGAGACATAACAGACTCTCCCATCCATGATCAATTGATTTTTCAAAAAAGATGTCAAGGCAATCTCATAGAGAAAAGATAGCCATTCCAACACTTGGTTCTGGAGCAGTTAGACATCCATATACAAAAATAAACAAACAAAATTTGACCCATATCTTATGCCATCTACCTTTTCAAGTAAATAAATACTAAGAGTATTTATCATCAACTCTCTTCAGTAAAGAAACTTCTAAAAAATATTTCAGGAAGAAGAAATTATGTTGCAAAAAAGGAAAAATGAGAAAAGAAACTGGTAAACATGTGGGTAAATATTACCTGTGTAAAAAAATAGTAATAATATCTACTATGCTAGGCTTAAAAATGATAAAAAAAAAAAA